ACATATGTGCATACAGATATACATGTTATACGGCAATGAATGATAGTCTCAAGATTACACACAAACGATAATGAATTCATGAACTCACGCGCGCACACGGCCAGTGACCTTACCACTAGCGGCGCGAGCGGGAGCCACAGCTAAATGATGGCTGTGCCCAGCTCGTTGCGCTGACCGCCGCAATTCCCGGTCAACCTCATCGAGCTTCGCAACCTCGGCGTCCGGGAGTCGAGGACAATGCGAAAGAATCCAATCGCGACACGTCGAGCGCCTCGAATCGGAGACACGAGCGATCAGTCGCAATCGCCGGACAAACTCGGCGCCGCATGCGGGGCACTTTGATCCAGACAGGTAGCAACGAATCTGGAGGCGGGCTCCGTGCTTGGCTCGTCGATGGCTCTGCAAGCCGCGGGCGGTAGTGAATGCAGCGCCACAGTGGCAAACATGGGACTCGCGTCCTGGGGGGGGATCAGGCGCCGCCTCGGCGTCGCAGACCGAATCGCAAAAGAAAATGCGATCCACCAAAGCCTTCCAGGAACTTTCGTCCGCCATGAGATGCGCCCACGCCTTAGGATCCTCAGACAAAGCAGGGAAACCGCCCGGGAGGTGGGCCCGAAGGAAATCCGCATCCTTTTCTACGGCTTGGATTCACCGCAGTTTTTGCCCTCGCGGTCTCGAGCTAAGCAGCGCGAGCAAGGCCGCAGACTTGGCGCGGCGCAGCCGGGCACAATACTTCAAACGAAAGCGGGCGACCAGACATTCAATGGCAGGTTGGTGCAATGCCTCGCGCACTTCACGGTCGGAGCTCTCGACGTGCTCAAAACGAGGTTCGTCAAATATCCGACGAAGCACAATCATGCATACTGTTTCAACCGCTTCAAATGCCTAGCGGGCGGAACTATTACCTGCACGCCGAACAAGAGCTTAGACAAGAGCAGACACTGCATGAAGTACAATTTGTGCACAAGCGCTACATGCTGGGATCCAAACACTTTGTACGACAAGGGCGCGTAGGCAGCAAAAGTTTTAGATGCCTTGGCATTTGCATCAGCCATGGTGCACGATTGCAGAGAAGTGGCAGTGCCAAGATGCTTATAAGAGCTCACAACGCGAATGCGCACATCCCTTCCCGGAACCTGCACACTCAACTGGCCGCTCGCATCGCGACGAGCCTCTCGACAGGCAGTGGCCTTGGGGCCGCGATGCTCCAAAAGGGCTTCAGTTTTTCCGGGGGAGGCGCTGAGCTGCGAATGCAAATTTTAAAGAAGTAGAGAAAAGAACCTCAAGCAATATATCGATGCATTGATCGAGTTGTTGAGGAGTGGACGCTACTATCGCAAGGGCTTCGTCATCGATGAAAGCCGCATCCAGCACAAACTCCATATTCTCACCCCCGGGGGAGGGGGCCCAAAACGGGTCCGCAGGAGAGGGCAACCGAAGCGCAACCCCTTTCTCTCGGAGCTGCGCAGAGATGATGTCTAAGGCTATGCCGTAGACTCCGTTGAAAGTGAGCGCGCCTAGTTTGCACCCTTGTCGCCCTCCAGTGCGACTGGTGACACATGTGGGGAGATCAGAGACAGCGGCCCAAGCACCTTCGTGCAAGGTTCGCATCATTCGGGCGACAGCTTCGTCAGTCCCCCATTGCTGTAGGAGGTGGCCGCGTTGAGACAAATACTGGAGCATCCAATCGGCAGCCGGCTCGGAAACTCCAAGGGAAAAGAAGATGAGATCGATGCTCGGACGTTGGCATCGAACCCCATCCATACATGAGTTGCCGCACGACTCTGTCAAATGCTTTTGTGAGGTCGACGTACAACACAAAAACTGACTGCCTACATAAACAAGCATAATCAATAATCGAATGCAACACGCGAGACGCGACATCGGTTCCGCGGCCCGGGATGGCACCATACTCTGAAGACAGCTGGTGCACGACGCAAGCTGGCGCCACAGCCTGCCGCAGCATTCCGGCGAGACCTTCACTCGCATGGTCCGCAAGAAGAATGTTACGATAGTCGTCTGTGTTAAGGGGGCCCCCTTTCGCCTGAAAACTTCTTGGGAACGCCCCCCCCGCCACTGAGTCGCCCAGGCACCTGCGGCCTTCGCGCGCTCGTTGACGGAAGAAAACTTGCAGGCCAAAGCCGAACCCCCTGCTTGGGGAAGTCCCGCAGGGATTCCATCGTAGCCCACTACTTTGTTGCGGCCGAGGGCCCGGCAAGCACAGCGAGTGGCCTCGGGGCCTACATCCAGAGAGGAGGAGGGGGGGGGAGAGGAGGGAGGGGAAGAGGTAGGCACGGGCTGGCGAAGAGAGGCCCGGCCCACAATCTCGCCTCGAAAAACTTGCTGGACATGATCTTGCCACATGCTTGACGCCTTCCGCAGCGGATGTGAGGACGCCATGAGAATCGCGCAAGCACTGACTCGGGGGCGCGGCGCGCGCCCCTAAAGCTCGCAATACAGCGGAAGCCTGGCGAGCGTCGCGCGCCTCGACCGCGCGGGAGGCGCTCGCAGCAAGGGAATCGAGATACGCGCGCAGATCCTCATCCAAAATGGGGCGCGCGCATTTCTGCAAACGGAACATATGAGCTGCGATGCACGC